ATAAATCTTTTGGGTTTTTTTGTTGTTAAATATATCCCTAAATATTTCAATTTGTTCTTGGCTATTGAAGGGTACTGCCTTCTTGATCTTCACTTCCATGGTCTTGTTCAATGTAATATAGCAAAGCAGTAGACTTTTGTTGATTGTGTATCCTCCCATTCTTCCATATTCCTCTATCGCTGTCAGTACTCCTGTTGTGGATCTTTGGGGATTTTCAATGTCATCTGACATTTTCATGTCATCTGAAAACAGCGAGAGTTTCACATCTTTCTCTCCCAGCTGGATACCTTTAATGTCCTTCCACTGCTGTATGTTGTTTGTTAGGACCTCCAGTACGATGTTGAATAGAAGTGAGGATGGGCTCATCCCCTTTTCAGTGAGATTGTTTATGTCTTTTCTCCATTGACTATGATGTTGGCTGTTGGCTTTTTGTAGATAGCTTGTATTAACATGAGGAATTTTCCTTCTATTCCTATCTTCTTGAGTGTTTCAATTAGGAATGGGTGTTGGATGTTGTCAGAAGTTTTTTCTGCGTCTATCGATATTATCATGTGATTCGTATACATTTTCTTATCAATGTGGCAAATAATGTTGATGCACTTGATGTTGAACCAGCCCTCCATCACTGGAATGAATGCCACCTGGTCATGAGATGTTTTACATACTTTTGTATTCTATTGGACAATATTTTACTAAGGATTTTTGCACCTATGTTCATTAGAGATAATGGTCAGTAGTTCTCCATTCCTGTGGTATCCTTACTCTCTTTGGGTATCAGAGTTATACTGGCTTTGTAGAATGAGTCTGGGAGTTTGACATCTTTTCTATGCTCTGGAATATTTTTCCCCTCCTCTAGAATAATTTGTGAAGGATTGGTGGTGTCAGCTCTCCCCTCAATGCTTGGTAGAATTCTCTGGTGAAGCCGTCTGGTCTGGAAGCTTTTTTTGTTGCTAGTTTCTTGATAGCCATAACTATTTCTTCTTTTGCTACCTCAACAGTGAGATTTTTGACCTCTACTTTGGGATAATCTAGGAAAGGATTGTTTTCCAAGTATTTATAGATGTCTTCCATGTTGCTGAATTCATTACAGTACAGACTTTCATAGTATTTTGTGATTATCCTTTGAATCTCGTTGGGATTCATTGTGATTTCCCCTGTTTCATCCTCATCCTGGCTATTGATATTTGCTCCTTCCTGTCCTTGTTAGGCTTGCCAGTGGTTCGTCCTTTCAAGGAACCAGCTTTTTGCTGCATTGGTTTTTTGCATTGTTCTACTGTCTTTCTACTTGTTTAACTCTGCCCTTATTTGTACTATTTGTTTGCTTTTACTATTGGAGGGGTTGCTATGTTGACTCTGTTCTAGCTGCTGAATGTTTTGTAATGGCATATCAGTCATACGTCTCTTTTTCTTTATCATATGTGCACTTATTGCTATCAAATTTCCTCTGGTAACTGCTTTTGCTGTATCCCATAGGGTTGGGTATGTTGTATTCTCATTCTCATTAGTTTCTAGAAACTTCCTAATTTCCTCTCTAATATGGGCCAGTACCCAGAGTGAAGCTGGCGGGAGCAGGCAGGCAATGGGGTGCCGGTGGCGAGGTCCTAGGCAGCAATGGGGGTGGATCATCCCGGTGCAGGTCTCTCAGCCAGCCACTGGTAGATTACAAGTCAGTTACTGGGCCCCTGGGTGAATGGAAGGAGGGATCTGAGCCCAAGGGCAGATCACTGCCACGTGGGGACAGGGGAACTGCGGGAAAGGGAAACTTCTCTCCTACTGGGGTCCCACGAGTGGGCAGCTGCTGTAGGGGGTCCCACCACAGCTGTACATGTCTCGGCAGTGCAGCCAAGCAACTCCTGGCGCAGGGCTGGTCTGGGGGTGAAGTGGGTCTATCACTAATTGTGCTGGGGTTGCTCAAACTGATGAGATAAGAATCAGATTCTGGATCACTGAGGCCCTGGCTCGGGACAAATGCGTGGGGTGGGGGTGGGGTGCTGTCCCAGGGGGATCTTTCACTCACCAGAATCCTTCCACTTGGCTACCTGGATACTAAACCCGCCTTGTTTGAACGAGCCCTCAGAGTGTGCAGCTCACCTGGTCTGCCATCTTCCCTCACCTAAACTCTAATTTTTAACTGAAGCTCCAGTTTGATCTTTGGAAGGAGGAACAAAAAAAGGAAATAATATATACATTTCTTGATCATCTATGTCTACCAATCACTGCCAAATTCCAAAAAATGAAAGAAAGAACACAATAAATGACAAAAGACTTACCATTTCTGGGAAAAAGTTATCTTCAATAACTAATCTCTTGTGGCAAGATTATATTTGTTGTGAATATAGTAGCTAAGGAGACTCTGTGTACAGTATAAGAAGAACATTGGCCATTCTGTTTGAGATTATTCCCCAACCTGCTTACCGTTGTGTCACAATGTAAATTCCACAGCTTGTACAAGGAACTTCTCCTTAGGATATGCGATATTGCCACAGGATGTTGGAGTGCCTCATTTATTGCCATAATTATTCTGTATTTCCCTTCCTGATATCCTGTCTCTGTTGAGCCCTTTCCTCACACAAAAAATCCCACTACAACAAGTATCCATTCTGACCCAAACTGGCCAGGCAAACATGTCCACAAAGACATTCCCAGCCTTCAGGTCACAGGTATCATGGAACGGAAGAACTTTGGTCAAGGCACCAAAAGTCACCATAAACACCAAATAAGAAGACATTTGGAACCAAGAGCTGTATCTCGTTAAGGACCTTAACCTCACCCTAATGCATATTTGTAACCATCCCTGTGAAATATCTTTCATATCCATAATCCTATATATTTACTTATTGGTATACTTTTCAAAAACTTTAAGCCATGTGCACCGTTTTTTCCAGAAGCTTTCCTTGGGGAATCTTCTGGATCAGGCCTTGCTTGATCTGAGGAAAGCGGGCCCTTTCACTGTCACGCAGCCCTGTCGTTGCTTCCAGCAGGAGTCATGTTGGTAACACAGTTCCTTTCGCCGAGTGTGCTTTTCAACATCAGAGTACACACTGTCTCACAGGGTCTCCATGAGTCGGGACCAACTGATGGCAGTGAGTGTGGTGTGGTGTTAGCACAAAGAAGATGATGGGTCAGACTGTCAGCTTCTGAGAAGACTGGGAACTTCTCTTCTTTATTCCGGGGGCTTCTAATATGCCGAGCACCGCATCAATTTCCAGGTACAGTCTCAAACCTAGTGAAAACCATTTCATCATAGTCAGGGTTCTCTAGGATCCACAGACCTTTTCGATAGGTCATCTGTATCCTGTGGAGATTCCTCCGCCTAGCGATTACTTCTCTCTAGCAGTGTCAAGATTCCAAAAATGGGTTGGCATAATGAGGCTTCCATTACTTGTCATCAGTGATTATTTTCCCTGTTCCTAGTTGTCCAAGATTTGGGTCCAAGAGTGAGGAATCACCACAGATCCTCTCCCTAGGCGTTGCTGTCTCGGATGACTTCATGCTGCCAGAGCTGCAGCTGCCAAAACCTTCAGAAGAGGTTGGAGTACTTGTTAGCAATATACTTCAGTAGCAGAAAACAACATCCCACCTCTAAGGAGCTGATGCTCAAGCTCCAGAAAAATATCCAGAACCAAAAGCTTTTCTCCCTGCCTCTGAGCTCAATGACACTGAGGACACGGCTGTCCATTAATGTGGGAGAGAAACAAAGGACTCACTACCATCACAATCACAAATGCCCCTGCGATAATGGCATTGGTCCATAGGGATAACTTGGTTGTGGAAAGGACAGGGACAAGAATGCTGGGGCCATAGCAATGGGGGAGGCATGGGAGCAAGGACCATCCTATTAGCATCTAGGGTTTCAGTTCCCTACAAAATGCCCTCTCCTTAAAAGTTTATTACAAAACCCCACAGATACTGCGCTGTTCATTTGTAGATTTTATGCTGTGGTAGTTACACAATTTCATGTTAACCTGATAAAAGACTGAAGGGGTGGGGGTCTAGCCTATCAATCAGTTCACAGCCTGGTGATCCCGCCTTGTGGGGTGGCCTTCTTATGAATCTTCTCAGAATTGTTTCTTGATTCTGCCATTAGAAGAGGCAGGTCTCTCTCTCTCTCTCTCTCTCTCTCTCTCTCTCTCTCTCACACACACACCTTCATGTTGACAAGCCACATGAAGCCATGGTGATGGCAGCCAAAGCCCTGGAGATGTGTCCACTGCCATTGGATCCACAGGACTTTCCGCCCACCCGTCTGTGATTGTCCTGCATTCAGCATCATTGCATGTGCTGTGTGAATCTAAAGAGGAACTCATGGACTAATATCAGACATATGGGCTAATAGTGATCTTACAGACTTTATCTGGATGTTTTATTGATGTGTAATTCTTGATATAAAGTTCTCTTTTACACATATATGAGTAGCAATGAATTTGTTTTGCTAGACAACCCGGTCTAACACATATTCATATGAGCATGAATACCTGTTTTATATACAAATGCTATTTGTATCACTGATAGCTATGACATGTAGTTAATGATTTTCATATCCTGAATGGCTGTATTGGACTGAATTAATGACTGCAGTTTCCATTTGATGGAACTAGAAAATGATGAGTATCCAATATCATAGGTTAGCAGGGCAGGGGGTGGGAGCGGAGACTAATAAATATAAGAACTCAAATGAAGTGGAAGGAACACATTAAGTAAGCCAATGAAATGAAAAGTGACTGTTTTAGGAGATGAAGTTAAGTAATAAGTATCGAGATTTCCTGATCATGACAAAAGAAGTAGGACCCAAATCTCCCAAATCAGAGACCAGAGAAGAGACTTCATTCTTCATGTTTTCTGTACACATTCTACGATCAACTTCAAGCCCAAAGTTAAAAAATATCACTGAAATGTGGAAATTCCATGGAATCAAAAAACAAAACAAAAAGACACCTAATACTGTTCCCTTGTAATACAAGAAACAGACGAGAGAGTCACCCATTATCATGTGTACCCACCTCGTAGAAGGGATGAGAAAGGATGCATTATGAGCTCTCATGTCACAAAGGCTGTTGTGTCTGTAATATAAAGTTTATACTTTTAAAAAATATTGATAATATATAACGATTAAAACAATGCTTGATAAAGAACATGTTTAAGGGATCTGTTTTCCTTTGAGAGTGCTTGTGTTTCTCCGAGTCTGAGGGAGAACTCTTACCCACATTCTCTACGCCTCTGCTTCCAGATATTAGGGGACATGCAAATGCAGCTCTCTGTCTGCTGATAAACTGGCCACAGCCCCTGATGTGGGAGATCTCAGAGGACAGTCTCAGTCTCTGGGGTCTCTGCTGTTTCCATTTGTGCCCAGGAGCTAGTCCCCAGGACACATCATGAATTTTGGACGGACTTTCGCTTTCATTTTGGCCGTTTTACATGGTAATTGTCATAGACTTTGTGTGTGTAAAATTGTGAGTGCATTTGTTTGTATGTGTGTCTTCTATTCCCAGTGCCTCTGTGTTTGCAGGTGTCCAGGGTGAGGTGCAGCTAGTGGAGTCTGGCGGTGAACTAAGAAAGTATGGGGCCGCTCCGAGACTCTTCTGTGCAGCCTCGGGATTCACCTTCAGTGACTATTTGTGCACTGGATCCGGCAGGCTCGAGGGAAGGGCCTGCAGTGGGTCGCAGTCATTGGTGGTGATGGTAGAAGTTACATAATCTACACTGACTCCGTGAAGGGTCGATTTATCATCTCCAGAGATAACTCCAAGAACACACTCTATCTTCAAATGAATAATCTGAAAGCCGAGGACACGGCCATGTACAAGAGACACAGTGGGGAATCAGTGAGAGCCCAGACACAAACCTCCCCTGCAGGGAGGAGTCTGGTCTCCAGGGGGCGCTCAGGACCCACGGAGCACAGACTCAGACCCAGAGCCGGTGCAGCTGGAGTTTCAAGGCTTGTGGTTATATGTGGATTCTTCTAAATTTCAGTTTCCCTAGGGAATCTATCTCTAATTTAAAAATAATAATTATGTGCCTGCTCCCGATATGCGTGATTTCAAAAGTTATGTTGTAACAAGAGAATACATTCTGTCCTACAGCAACAAGCAGCCTGTCCCTGAAGGACAAAAACGACTCTGTCGGGGGTCCCTGTGGCAGAGTTCTCACGACGCTCAGATAAACACTCTTCAATCAGACTCAGGGCAAATGGAGGGCTGGGGGCTGGGTAAAGGTAACTATTAAGTGTTTTTTATATTGGCTGGAAATTTAATAGTATATTCTTCCAGCATACTTTGTGAAGTATTCTGACAATCATTTAGTTAATGATTTAGTTGAAATCTAAGCAGTTGTCCTATTTTTAAATTCTTTTCATTTAACTCTTCAGAATACCCAGCGTTTTTATTTGGTTTGGTTTGGTTGTTTTTCCAAACCATGGTGGCCTAGTACTTTTTTCTTTTTCTGTTTTGTCTTTTTAACATGCGTATGAGGCCTTGGAAAATGCTTGGCATGGGTGAAGTGCATCTTTTTGGTCACAGGACCACTTTATCCCCCGGAGTCATGGAGCAGACTGCAGTTGACTTCCGGTATCACAGTTCCCAGCACTCCACTCCCGTCCACGCCTCCCCGTTTCACAACCCTGCTGCCTCTCTGTTCTGCTCCAAGAACAAGGGAATCCCCCTCACCCTGGATATCCGTGCTCCCCCTTCCCTATGTTTATTCCTCCTCACAGACTTACCATGTTGTCTTTCCACATGAAAAGCACTGGAAGATTCCATCGCAGCAACATCTTCCCTGACTGCAGGTCCTAAGGTGAATGACACAGAAAAATACAAACTGCTCTTTACTGCCCTGTCCTGACAGCTTCCGTCTCCTCTAACTCAACCATCAACCATCTGGCACAGCCCTGCCCCTGCCTCCTCCAGGCCATCATGTGCCTTTTCTCTTGGGCCATGCTTCCCACACTTCCCCCTTACGAATCACTCAGGCCACCTTTTCACACTGTAGCATCTCCCTGCACGCTCCACCGAGCGTGCTGAGTCATGTTTTACCTTGAAAATCTCCACACGCAGTTCTGTGCTTTCCTGGGGAAATTCACCGTGCAGTTGCTTGTCCCAACTCAGCCTTCTCTGACATGAAGGGGAGGCATCCATAAAATGTTCCTACACCATTCAAGTGTTCCTGTGCAAATGATCAGAAGCAAAGCCTGAGCTAACAATTAAAAAGCAAGCGAGCAAACAAAGGACAAATAAACACATTTTGAAATGCTTCCTTACATTGTTCATACTCTTTCTGCCATTTCTCCTAGATAATAAAATTTAAAATGCCAGGTTTTCCCCTCAGAACTTATGAACAAATTTCTCCCTCATTTGTCCTTAATTATCTGACCCCAGGACAGCTCAAGCATAGGAACTTGAGTACGGACAGTGCAGTACCAGACAGTGTTCTGTTCTGCTGTGCACAAGGTCCCTGTGGGTCAGAACTCACTCAATAGCACCTATCCATAACAACCTCATGACCCAGAACTCCAACCCTGCCTTCATTCAGGACACGATGCTTTAGTGGGAAGAAGGCACTTTAACTCCCCCAATAACTGGTCTACTTCCTGTCAGGACCCCTATCCTGGGAGTCATCTTGTAGAAATTCTAAAAGGCTATGGGATGACGACCAGGGCTCATATGAACAAGTTTTAAGGAAATGGATAATGGCACTGCTGAGAAAGAGGCCAAAGAAGTTGTGCCAAGTATAACTTTTTTACCCTTCATGACTTTGTACTTACTTATTCTTCAAGGGTAGCAAGAGCTGCCCTGATAATTTAATTTGAAAACTTTTGCTCATCCACTCTACAATCCTAACCTTGTCCCTTCCAAAATCTCAAAGGATATTAAGAAAGAGCATGGTGTGAATCTCTCATAGATCTAGAAACTTCAGTTTGTGCATTTGTTTGTAGTATTATTCCTATAAAACGGAGACATATCAGTATAATCATGCATATTGTGTGTTAATAGAACAATAAAATGAATTAATGTTTGATAATAATGTAGCGTAGAAGTCACATAAAGCATGTTTCTAATGTTATTATCCTTGTGCCCTTCACAACACACCTAAAACACTCAGATCTGTTCTCAGAACAGAACACACATATCTCAGAAGTCGTGCAACTTCATGTATTGCTATGTAGTAGGAGGGCACGCAGATCCACCCCTCCCTCTGCTGATGAAAGCCAACGCAGCCCCAACCCTGCAGCTCTGGAAGTGCTCCAGGATTCTCAGGAGTCCCACTCAGTGATGAGGACCGAGCACAACACAGACAGCCTGGAGTCTGTGCTGAAAGGAGGTTGTCCTTGTTGCTATTTTAACAGGTGACTATTTTTAATCAAGAACAAGTTGGTGTGCTTGGACGTTGAGTGATAGACACGGTGAATATGTTTGATGGTTTTCCTGCCCAGGATATCTGCTTGCAGATGTCCAGAGTGAGGTACAACTAGTGGAGTATGGGGGTACTTGAGGCAGCCTGAGGGGTCTCTTAGACTCTCCTTTGCATCCTCTAGATTGCCCTTCAGTAGCTATGCCATGATCTGGGTCCACCAGTTTCGGGGAAGGACCTGGACTGGGTCTCAAGTATTAGTACCGGGGGTGGTGGTACATCCTAAAAAGACTCTGTGAAGGGTCGACTCACTATCTCCAAAGACAACTCCAAGAACATGCTGTGTCTGTGTATGAACAGCCTGCAATTCGAGGGCACATCTTTGTATTTCTGTGCTACTATCATCAGAGCCAGGAGAAACCAGATTGAACCCGGACACAAATCTCTCCTGCAAGGAGGAAACGGGCCCCCAGGGGGCGCTCAGGACCCACAGAGCACAGATGTCAGGTCCAGGAGCAGGTGCAGATGGAGGTTCAGGTCTGCGTTCCTGTTGTGACATTCGCGTTCTTCTCCATCTCTCATTTTCCCTCAGAGAATCTCTCTATATAAATGACCATGCTGTGCCTTTCCCTGATATTTCCTACATTTAAAAAGTTGTATTATAGCAAGAAAACATTCTTTTAAAAAATCAGCCTATTTTTTTGTGGAGGAAAATGATTCTGTCAGGTGGTCCTCAAGATCAGGATCCAGATGAAACTCAGGGAGACTTGGAGATTCGGATCTAATGAGATTGAGGGAAGATGGAGCGATTGGGTGCTGCCAGAGGTGAGATGTCTGAATCGAATTAGAAAGACTGGTTATTCAAATTCTGCAAATGATGCCTGAAGATAAACACTTGGTGATGTACTTCTGAAAGGACAGACTGAGAGCAGAGGCTGCCATAGATCCCCCAATTATGACATGGGGTTCCAGGCTAGAGTTATGCAGGCGGCAAGTTAGGGAACAACCACATGGAAACAGAATGTGGCTCCCATATGCCTCTCATCTTCAGTAGGAAGTGTGCAAGTTGGACTCAGCACTGGTCCGAAATCTCTTTGCGTCTTTATCTATTTTCTGTCTCTCTTGTTCAGCAAGCTGACAGGATTCAGGAATGTTTATCCTTCCCACTGCAAGTCTGTTCCCATTCTCAATATGCCATGTTCATGGACGAGGATGCTCAGTACCAAGGAAATAAAAACACTACCCAATGTTATCTTGAAATACAATGCAGTCCTGATCCAAGTGCCAACTTCGTCCTCTAAAGAAATGGAAAAATATAATTACCCACTTTATATGGAGAATCCTAGTATAATCAAGGGACCCAAAAAGATTCAGATCGAGGTAGGGGGCCTCACACAAACTAACCTCAAAACTATTCCACAGCCACGCAGTCAAAATAGCCTGGTACTCCTACAATGACAGGCATGTTGACCAACGGAACAGAATAGAAAACTAATAAGCAATCCATCCCCATACAGACAACTCATCTTCACCAAAGGCCCAAGGGACTTTATAAGGGAGAGCGACATTCTCTTCAACAGTGGGGCCAGCACAATTGGGCAGTCGCCCTCAGAAGAACGAAAGACAACCGAAACCTCAGCTCATGTACAAAAGCGAGCACCAGATGGTCAAGGACCTAATGTCAATCCCAGAGCTATAGAGACCATATATAAGGAAGCAGGGACACATGCAAGTGCCCCATTGCAGGGCGTTCATACACTGTCAAACACAGCAAAGGAAGTACACACAAAGAAGACAACAGAGATGAGAGTGACCTTCTAAAACCAGACATTTATGTGCATCACAAGAGTAAAAAGGGAAATCGAGCAACACATAAAAAACAAAAAGCTCTTATTTTTTAAAATCATTTTATTGGGGCTCATACAACTCTTATCACAATCCATACATACATCCACTGTGTCAACCACATTTGTACATTTGTTGCCATCATTATTCTCAGAAACATTTGCTTTCTACTTGAGTCCTTGGTATCAGCTCCTCATTTTTCCCCCTCCCTCCCAGCTCTTCCCTCCCTTATGGACCCTTGATAATTTATAAATTATTATTTTGTCATGTCTTACACTGTCCAATGTCTCCATTCACCCACTTTTCTGTTGTCTGTCCCCAAAAAAAATCTCTTATAATTTAAAGCTGCAATGTTGTATATCTATTTACTGCACAATAGACAACTGGAGCAAATATGATTGCATTTTCCTTGGAGCTATCATTTCCACCTTTCAGAATTTTGCGAGATGCAGTCACCTTGGTTAAGTGACCGACCACGCCTAACCTCAGGAGATGGGGACTGCAAAACACACCTGACATCTGAGGCTCGAAGAGCTCGGTGTGTTGCTTCCTCAGAGTGCACACTGAACAGACCATTCAGGAGCTCATTCAGATGTGTAGTAAGCCTGTTAGGAAAGTGATGCGCAGATGGATAATGTCATGAGGTTGACATTTAAGGACACCCCTACGAGCCCACTGCTATGAAATAATCTGAGACCATCATGGCCGTCAAATTCAGAGATGGAGGTGAGCTGAACTAGTGTGCAGCTACATCAGGGTCTCAAGCTTAAATAGGGCAGACAAGCACCAAGAGCAGACGGTGAGTTGGGGGTTTGGTGACATGAACAGGATCAGGCGATGCTGTGCGAATGTGCTTATGAAAAGTGAACTGACTCAATTATCTCCAAACGAAAAGTGCTGTGTCCTGTGCTTGAACCCCTGGATTGTAGTGAAATCCATGTGTCTTCATTTCAAAGCAATTGCTTATTCCCTTCAGCAAATTCTGGCCCAAATAAGTCCAGGTGATCAACACTTTGTGCTTGGATTTCCCCATTGTAAAAAGATATATAGATTTGGAGATATACAGATTCTAATTCACCAGGATATGAGTGGTAGCAACCCTAAGTCTGGGGGGAATGTTTTAAGTTTGTTAGGAGGAAGGAAACTGAGTGGGGACTGAGCTTTAAAACTGCATGTTTAGAGATAGTCATAGCTTCTATAGTCAATAATATGAAGTTTTCCAAAATCAGACAATCCTTGCGTTTAGGGAATAAATGTGAGGTGAGACCAACGCGCACTTGTGATGAGACTGTGCCCAGCGCATCAATGGAGAGGCTGTCTTTGGCTGGAGATGCTCACACTTCAATTGAACCAGAGCCCCCTGGGTAAGGGACATGTACAAGTGTCTGCGCTCATTCTCTAAATGTTGAAGATCAGCTGCATGCACGGACCTAATGTTAATGGAGAGTGCCTGTTGGGGCTCAAGAAAATGTCTTTGGGTTCAAGATCTAAAATACTGCGCTTAGCTTTTATTCTAATACTGATCCTTTTTGTAAATGATTATTTTCCATTTACTGCTCTACTGAATCTTTGCACTTGAAAATCATGACTCGGCTGATTTTGCACTATCGTGGATCTTCCAGCAAACAAAGGGGTTGTCCCTATTCAGAATCTTGCATTTTTAGAGGCTAGAGAGTTAAAATTGCCTTGTCTGAGGCCCAACTTTTCCAGGTGGCACGTTCTTCCCTGAGACACTATGACACTTGACTCCCTTTACTGACACGGAGGTTGACCTCAGTCAGCAGGCTCGGGGCTGTAGTGTGTGCATTGCTCGTAAGAGCGGTGGGGTTGCTGATGACCACGGCCCCAGGCCGGAAAAATCCCAGCGGAATAAGCTTAGTAGCAGGACAATGCCAACTGGAAACATTCTGCCAGAGCCTTCGGTGTCATATTGCAGAAATAAACTGCAAAGCTAGGAGTGGAGCATGTCC